AAAAATGATTTTTGCTTGTGGAAATCTAGTCTCAGATGTCTACTTTCGATTACTGAAAACTGCAAGTATCTAGCTTTCTACCCTCATCCTCACAACATTTCCGCGTTATCGAAGAAACAGGTTTTCATTTATATGATAAAAATGCTGATTACTTTTGAAGGACACTTTCTGATCTCACTCGCTGCTCAACAAAGTAAGGGAGGAAAAAGCGACAAATAAGAATATAATAGATAAGAACAGAACCGAACAAGTGCTTTATTGACGTAAGATATAGTCGCTACTTTACCCTCGTTTTCTTTCGTCAAAACACTAAGGATTTCCGTAACTCTAGAAAACCTCTTGATTCACGGTCCCCACTGCAACAAGTGTAGGGGAAATATTATATTCATAGATAATCGACATTCCTCTATCAAATGCACATTAGAGGTGTTAATTTAGTTTTATTTTTCATTTATAATAATGGATAAAACTAAATGAATCATTTATACTTAAAAAATAAAGATAAATTTTTCATTTATATTTAAAAACTAAATATAAAGAAATGAAAAAAAAATTTATCTTTATTTTATAAAAATAAATGATTCCTTTACATTTATTTATTTATTTCTACCTTTACTTTTAAAAATAAAGGTAGAAATAATAAAGGAATCATTTACTTTTATAAAATAAAGATAAATGGATCATTTACTTTTATAAAATAAAGATAAATTTTTTTTCATTTTTTTATATTTAGTTTTTAAATATAAATGAAAAATTTATCTTTATTTTTTAAGTATAAATCATTCATTTATATTTATTTTCCAAAGTAACACTAAATTAACACCCCTAATGCACATCTCTGAATTTTTTTCTACTTAACTTTGATGTTTTAAATTTTTTTTCTAACGGTACGATGCCGTTGCAATTCACTCAAATGTAGCAGTTTCCTGACGTTCATCTATGTCATATTTAAGCTGTTGATCTCACAATAATGGTGGTAGATTCTGGATTTCAGTCTGCTGAAACGAACGTGCGCAAATCGAACCGTTTATTCAATAACAATGGTGGTGGCAGTAGCGAAACATTGAATCGGAAAGACGTATGACCTTGTATTTTTTTCCAAGATGAACGTGGAAGTTGATCTTATTTTTTATGGGGGAGGTGTTATGACACATGTTAAAGACGTGCCATAAGAGAGAATTGTATGATAGGTATGATACATATATATATATATATAAATATATATTCGTTCCCTTTCTTTCTTCCAGGAATTTCCTCAGTGTTATTTCTTATTGTCTATTATATGTATCTTTTTTATTGTCTTTCTTTCTATGAGGAATTTCCCAGTTGGAGGAAGAACAGTTTTAGTTTGAACTTTATTCATTTTAGAAAGAGAAATAAGAATAGTCAGTCTACACATGTGCGCTCTAGACCATTATATCAGAGGAAAATGACATAGCAAATGATATAAGCGATTACAAATAAAACGTTTCTCTCCTTCATCTTAAAATGTCTAGTAGACATACAAAAGAACCTGTTAGTTAGTGTCTTTTCGTTAAGAGATCACTCTGATCTTCACTGTGATCAATATTTCTCTTGGTCTGCATTCTCTTGTTGTTGTCTACACAAAAACGTCTTACCGTGCAGCAAACGCAGATTAAAACTTCTGCTCTGCAGGGAGTGCAGCTAGGAAAACGTTCTTATACATATATACATATAATACGTAGTTATACATATATTAACTGAAGAAAAGTTTGACCTGCAGTTTGAGCTTGCAGGTCAATGAAAGCTTTTTCCACTGGCGGCCGGCAGATAAAAAGGAATCTTTTTCTGGCTGCACTCCCTGCAGAGCAGAAGTTTTAATCTGCGTTTGCTGCACGGTAAGACGTTTTTGTGTAGACAACAACAAGAGAATGCAGACCAAGAGAAATATTGATCACAGTGAAGATCAGAGTGATCTCTTAACGAAAAGACACTAACTAACAGGTTCTTTTGTATGTCTACTAGACATTTTAAGATGAAGGAGAGAAACGTTTTATTTGTAATCGCTTATATCATTTGCTATGTCATTGTCCTCTGATATAATGGTCTAGAACGCACCTGTGTAGACTGACTATTCTTATTTCTCTTTCTAAAATGAATAAAGTTTAAACTAAAACTGTTCTGAGTTAACGTCCTTTCTACTCGTTCTACTTCAAATATTTTGTTTCTGATCCTCACTGTGACGATCCTTTGTTACAACCTACATTTTCTCTTTTATTATGAAGAATTGTTCGTTTTCGTGTTGTCTTTTCTCTCTCGTACGTTGCGCTTTTGTTTTTGTCACGTTTTGTTTCTTTCCGGACTACTCGTCATGTTCTTTTCCTGCGCCCTTTCCCTCTTGTGGTATACCTGTTCTTTTTCTGTTGAGTTTCTCTTTATTATTTCTTTTATTATTTTCGTGTTTTCATTTTCTGTCTCTGACCGCCACGGCAACCTTCTCCGCAGTTTCCGCGTGAGGGCACTCGCATCTCGGTGGGGGGGGGTATGCGATGATCCTTTGTCACAATTGACTTGCTTAACGACATGCGGTTAAGTCCATCATATTCATTCTCTTTATTGCGATACATATTACGAAAATACGTATAGCAGAAGAAATCGGGAAAAAAACTGTGAAAATATTACTTTGCCGGTCGTACATATGCACACTTGTTGACAGGTCTGTAGCGAACGGCGAGCGAAGGGAGGTATAAGCTTTGTGCTTGATTCATACTCGTCGAAGGTCGTCAGATATAGATTTGCCAAGTCACGGGACCGAGCAAGCGCGGGCGACTTTACTGCGGGAAATCAGAAAATGACTATGAGCGAGCTCTATGGTCGATTCTGTTGGTCGGAAAGTTCATTTAAAGCGACACACGGAATATTAGAGACAGAACCGAACAACTATTTTATTGACGTAAGATATAATTCGTAAGAATAAAAAAGGAAAAGTCGTTTAAGCATGTTTTCGTCATAGAATCACATTCCGTGAGTCATGAAGACGTTCGCTAATAAATGTTGATAATGAAAAGAAACAGTCCAATAACTTTACTGTCAGTTATACATTTCACTATCACTGTTGTGATAGTGTGAAACATTTAGGATTATATGCTGCTTTGTGTGTAACACTGAATGTCTCCAGTCAATAAGAAACTCTTGTTCCAGTGACATTAGTTCCTTTTTTGACTTCTGAATTGAAAATTCAAATTGTTCAAGCAATAACACTACGATAATTTTTAATTCAGTTAAAGCAAATTCCATGCCTGGACACATACGAGTACCAATGCTGAATGGCAAGTAAGGACATTTGCCTTTTGATTGTTGTTTTGATGTACGAAACAACGAGAAGGTATAGGGATCTTTATAATAAGCTTGCGAATGATGAATAGACCATGTTAAAATATCAATTTCGGTATCTCTTGGTATATGTACATTTTTTTCGGAATTTACTGTTGGACATTTGCTACTTATAGTAGAAATTCTTGTTATAAATGGTGCTATTGTCCAATAGCGTAGTATTTCTCGAAGAAACGATTCCAAATAATTGTTCTTTAAAGCATTCTCCATTGTTAAACCTTGTAGTTCTTTACGTAATTTAGATTGCATATCCTGATAAATAGCCAATGTCAAGAGTGTTAAACTCAATGTAGTAGCTGTTGTTTCTGAGCCAGCAAACAACAATAACTTTGTATCATCAATGGTTAACTGATGTCTTGGTGACTGTTGTTTGTGAAGCATATCCCACCGTTTTTGAACCAACTCATCAATAAATAATGCTTCATCACTATTATGTGCTTCATTGATGATCTTTTCAGTGAGATGCCGTTGGGTAAATATCTGCAGCGTAAGTTTCAACATACATTTAGTTAATTGATCACCTTCACTATCACTATTGTGACTGGCACACGCACCAAATGTTCCTCCTAATAAGGTTTCACCCACAATATCTAATGCAAGCCGTAAACTACATTCCGACATGTCCATTTTGACAAAATGATTATTTTTCGATGACATCAAATGTGTTTTCCATCGAAGAATTAAATGATCCGTACACTCACATATCAGCGGTATATATGTACTTTTAATTTGGTTACTAGATAAATAATATGATAATATACGTTTCGATTCTGACTTTGAATCTGAATTATTTAAGATTGATCCGGTTAATGGAGAGCCATCATCCAAGTGTCCCTTACAGAAATCACTTTCTTTCTTTACCAAAATATAGTGAGCAGCATTAATATCAGCAAGTATTAGTCTGTTTGGAAATAACCATGCCCACTGCCTCATGTGTCCTCTACAATGTGCCAATATCGTCAGCGCTTCAAGTTCAGAACGACGAGCAATATAAACTAGAATCACGTATATCAATTGAAAACCTGTTTCTTCGATAACGCGGAAATGTTGTGAGGATGAGGGTAGAAAGCTAGATACTTGCAGTTTTCAGTAATCGAAAGTAGACATCTGAGACTAGATTTCCACAAGCAAAAATCATTTTT